TAAGATCGCAGTAACAATTTCGGTGGATGTTTTGATGCTGACAACATGGAAAACCCTCTTGGGAGGGTGAAGACAGGCAGTTGTAATCTACTTCCTCAATTCTACTAAGAGTTTTTCTTGGGAATGCACAAGGGGTTAACATTCAAAAGGCATGAAGCACCATTTTGAAACTCCTCCCCAATGTTTCGGTTTCTGCACTGAGACTTGCAGTAGCCCAGGCTACCATATTTTTGTTATTACAAGTAAATTTTGTTATTAGAAGTAAATGATCATCAGCTTTCATATTTATCATGGCAGAAACCATGTGACCTTACCCTGTGTGTCCAGTCATGCCACGATATTCTCTCCTTAGTACAAGCCAAGACAGCTTCCTAGCAAACACACAGCAAAGCGTAACAGCTGACAATTTATTGCTATGACTAGTCTGCTCAAAAGGAGAACTATTAAAAAGATAATTTGTTTTGGAACCTATAATTGGAGAAACTTTCAAATTGAACTGTAACTATAAACTAGTTTCCCACCTTGCATTTTAGTCTCATAAATACTAGGTATGAAATCACCTGACAGCCAAAACACTGAATAAGCATAACTAGCCTTTCAAAAAATAAAACCAACCCCCTGACTAAAAAAACAGAAAAAAGGCAAACTTCAGAACCTCTTTTTAGGAAGCATCTTTTATTTGTCAACTTGGATTTCATAGGAATGATACATCCCAGATAACAACTGTAGTAATATTCTCAAATAAGGACATTCATTGCATTGGATTTAGGAAATTTTTTTTTTCCATCTCTCTTAACACCTTCTCTTCACCACTTTGTCCAGATCATCCTCACCTGTAATATCTTCACACTTATGGAAGAATAAAGAAGTATTTCTAGGCAATGCAGAAATCAGATACTATCCCTGTGTATTGGGTCTGGCTGAGATGGAGTGAACTTTCCCCACAGCAGCCTTCATAGTGCCGTGCTCTGCACTGGTAGCTAGAAAGGTGTGGATGACACACCAGTGTTTTGGCTACTGCTGAGCAGTGCTCCCACAGCATCCAGGCTGTCTCTCCAACATTTCCCTGTCACCAGTAGGCTGGGGGTGGGCAAGATCTTGGGAGGGAACACAGCCAGGACAGCTGACACAAACTGGCCAAAGGGATATCCCATACCATATGATGTCAGCTCAGCAACAAAAGCTATGAGAAAGGAGGAGGAGCAGGGGGCATTCATTTTTTATGATGCTCAACTTCTTGAGCAACCGCTACACAAACTGAAGCCCTGCTTCCCTGGAAGTGACTGGACATTGCCTGCTGCTGGGAAGTAGAGAATAAATCTTTTGTTTTCCTTTGCTTCCACACACAGTCTTTGCTGTTGTTTTATTAAACTGCCTTTATCCTGACCAACCAGGCTTCTTCCATTTTATGTTCTCCCTCCTTGTCCTGCTGAGGAGGGGAGTGATAGAGCAGTTGGGGGGTCACCTGGCATCCACCACACCCTGTCATTTCTTTTACAGAATATTGAAACTCCTGCTTTTAGGTCTGCCGTAACATTACTTAAATGAGATCTGTCTTAAAGCATATAGAGTAGATGAACTGGTGGTGGTTTGTGGAAGCAAGGAATCAGCGGTCTCCGACTCATTCATCTAAATGCCTCTAAAATAGTACCTTGTGACAACTGGTAATTCTCATTCAAATGAGGATATGAAAAGTTTTCTAATATGTTTATTAATGTAATTATTCTGTTTCAGTTATGGCTTCACTTTTTGATTTCTGATACAATGAAAACATTCATGTAGCACACAAAGACACAACAGAGCACAAATAAAAGTTGTTAATACAGGGCTGTAACTCCTATCCAAGACTGCGTAAGAGTTCTGGTTCTTTAGCTTTCTTAAATTCTAGGCATTTATCCTTTTCACTGATGCATACATGACTGCTTAGAAGTACATCCTCATGGTAGCTGAACACTAAAAACGTTTTGTTTAGAGAAAATGACTGAAGAGATTAACATTCCAAAATAAACTCTATTCCCTCTACTGCAGGAAGCATTACCAGATGTATCCCAGGGCTTTATTACAGTAGAGTTTTAACTTGAAACTATAATGCTTATATGGACAAATTATCAATGTAATTAGTATGTAAAATTAATTATCCTTTGACTAGTCTACAAATTATCTATTTTTTCCTGTACTATCTTCAAGTAAGACTTTTCTGCAGTTTATATATCATAACACAACAAAACAGATTTACAATATAAAAAAGGTATATTTTTAATTTTACAGTGCTATAAGGAAGCTGCTGAGTATTGACTTTGGAGTTCTAAAAGCTAACCTTGTAGCAAGTAGTTTTTTAATATGCAAGTTGAAACCTTGGTCTCATCAATCTGAGCTGTGACTACAACTGAGCGAAGATTTCACCATATGGTATATTAAAAAAAAAATTTTAAAAAAATCTGTATCTGACAAAAGGAACCACTCTCTTCTCAAACCTTCTGTTTCTGTGAGATGCATGTACCTACTTGCTAGCATGGAAAATAAAAGAATTAAAGCCACATCTTAGGATCTACGATCTTAGGGATAATGCAAACTGTTTATTTATGCCATAAGACATAGACTTTACAAACCTAGGTTTGTAGCCCATAACACTAACCAACACACTGATGATGCTTTGGCCTACTAATAGGCCATCTACTAATGAGCCATCACAAGGTAAGTATCAAAAGTTCAACTCCAGAAGAAAAACAGGGAAGCCAAGTGCAATATAGCACAGACAGCAGAAAATAGCTGTACAACAGAGGTACAAAACTTCTGGAAACTGGTTTTGTATTGATGCTGTAACAGGCTGAAAAAGAGTATACATTTTACTAGGATTTCACCTGCATGAAGCTGCAAAAGACAAAACAAACCTCAGGAAATTTATAGAGCTTAGATAAATCAAACAGCAGCACAGAGAGAGATGGAATGAAAAAGGAAGATAATCTTCAAACATCCAGGCAAAAGAAACATTTCTAAATAGGAAAGAAGTTAACTCCTACGTAAGAAGGACAGGACACCTAACAAGAGTCCAACATAGAAAATCCATGCTCTTTTGACAGAATACTGCACTGTAACTTCAGAAGGAATGAAGAGTTCACAGGAAACAAAGGTCTGCTGATTATAAATTACAAACACTGTATTTTGGATGTGTACAAATCTTTATTAATAAGGGTAAAGAGAGAGGTAGCAGAAATGCTGATGATCCTTTATGGAGACATTAGACCACCTCAAAGTCTGGGTTGCTAATACATTTCTTTGGAAAGAGCTATTAAGTGATGTACAGGGACAATTCATACATAATAACTTCAGGAACAGCAAGAGACTCCAGGACATTCTCCAACAGACTTGCCAGTTTTGGTACTTCTAATAAAGACAGATTTGTACCTGCTGGTTCAAATTGCAACTGCAAATAACAGAAATTTGGCAGGCTGCTGATATACACATTTGACAGCAAATAATGTATTGCGGAACAGTATCTGGAAACAGTTGCTCTGAAGTCTCTGTTGACTCACAGAACAGTAGCAGAATTAATGAAGTTTTGGGCTGCTCAAAGATACTTATAAAACCTGCTAACTATATTTAATTGCATCAGATGAAAGCGTTGTGTGTCACTCTAAAGATCAAAACCTAGACTCTAGATCTTCAAAAAAACAGGCTGGTGGTTTGTTTTAATCAGACACTGAAGAATGTAATAAACTATTTCATAAAAGTAGATCAAAGATATCGGATCAGTTGTTACCATACTGTTTTTGGGACTGACTATTGATGATAGCCAGTGAAGAACACAGCCATCATAAAGTGAGTTACTCAATTTAACTGTATAAGTTTTTGAGAATTTAAGAGCCAAAAAAGGATGCAACGTATTTTGTGTTAATGAGATACTTCTGGGTAAGACTTCCTGTTAAAAAAAGACTGCAATTTTGAAAAAAATAATAAATCTTATAAAACCAGGTCAGAGAATAAATGGATAAAAAGTTAAAACAGGGGATAATAAAAACATTGCAAAGCCAGAGAAAATAAATAGCTAACAGTAAAAAAACAGGAAGAGTCACTTTTTTTTAGTATGTCTGCATGCACATAGCCGTGTTTTATCTTTTTTCTGTGTGGTAGTGAGCTATTAGTGAGGTCTGGCACCCACCTTGACCACAAACAAAAAAAGAGTGGCAAATCCCAAAGACAGCGCCTTGTGAGTAAACACTTTTCTCCAGTGTCTCTGACTCAGAAGAATGCAGGTTACCTTGGGCAGCTGCCGCATTCCAGTGGATGAGGGACTGCGTCCCTCAGCTTTATAGGGAAGAAGTGGCAGGTGGTCATACATAAGTCGCTGAAGATCGCAAACATACAGCTGAGCAAGAAAATGAGTTCTGTCATCTCACGAAGGTCTAGAAGGTGCACTGTATTTGCACAGGAAGTGGTTGTATCTCTTGTAGGCACACGTTACCTATGGAGTATCTATCTGCCTACCAGATGGATCACTTAAAGTTTATGGTCTATTGATAAGAGACCAGTTCTGGGTTAGAGAAAGAGTATGTCCTGTTATGTTGGCTGAATATGATGAAAACTATTAACAGTCTCCTGAAATTACAATTAATCTTACACCTTTCCTTTTTGCAGTGGAATATCACACTGGGAATTCAAAATTAAAATAATCAGATTTAAAATTATTCTTTAGCCATGACAAAGGTGACTTTCCCACTAAAACCATCTACTAGGTAAGTTGGTAATGGCAGAAGCTTTTACAACAAGCTTGAGAAAATCCACAAAATGGATAAAAGCTTACTGGTCATCTTCGCTATCTTTGAAGGAAGTATATAGCATGCAGTCAGGAAGCGGCAAGCTGACAGACTCTAAATCCAAGAAGGAATGACCTGACAACATAGGGGTACCAAACTGAGATCAAGTAGTCTGAGAGAATAGAAGAGCTGGTGAACTCCTTTCTTTTCTTTCCTTCAGAGAGGCAAGTTGTCACTGTAACTCAGTAAAAAACTAAGACCAGTAAAGACATATGTTACAACAAATTATAGAGTCTCCAAAACTATCTTTAGCTGTTTACAGTAATTTCTGATTTTTTCCATTTATCTCTACAACACACTATTTCATGTACAGTATAAAAACAAATAACCCCACATCAAGCATGCAATTCTGTCATTTCAATTTTATATTTCAGTGGCTGAAGACTGTGTACCTCTGAGCCACATTTAGGACATGTAAAATACATATCAAATAAATAGTTACTTTTAATACAGTAGTAACAAAAAACATGCGAACAGCCTATGGTATGAGGCATGGTAGGCCATTCCCCACATAGTGAACATTCCTTGCAGTGAGCTGTTGATGCATTTTCACTATTAGAAAGACCTCCAATAGGCAGACACCAAGAAGAAATTTTAAGTTTTAGTTTCTGTACATTAATCAGTGGTAGCAGGTAGATCAGAAATTCAGCAAAGCCATGCCATAAGAGCTCCCTGTTCATGTATTCAAATCCTACCTGACGAACACTTTGTGGCTTGCAAAAAACTGACCTAATTCCTAGAATGCGTTCTGTAAGCGTTGCAAATGTTCCTTTCTGAAGAAAAATCAGAAAATTTAGAAGTCCACAAAGTTTAAGAAGCCCAGCTCCGAAGCTAATATAACGCTTAATTTTGCAGAAAGATTGCAGTTGACGATTGCTAAATAAATCATAACATCTTTCTTCCAACCATCTTCCACCAACAGTGAAAATAAGATACCATAACTTCTGGTGTTTGCTCAGAGGTTGATATTTCTCTGCCTGAGATAAGTTATTTTTGTATTGAATATTCAGAATAGCCTGTCCCACAGTTGCATTCTTGGAATAGATAGTGAATCTCCATAATATAAGCCATAAAAATGCTTTTACTTCTGGTTCAAAATGAGCCAACACCCCTGGTTTAAATCCATGAAAACAGCTGGTAAACTGCGACCACACTAGTTGTTCCAGGGCTTTGTTTAGTTCAAGAGCATCAAGTTGACTTATTCTGAGTACGGGATTCACCCTCTTTCCATTTCCAACGCTGGAGGCCATTTCTTCACAAAAAAACTTTCTAGGAATAAACACAAATAGTTTTTAGTATAATGGAGCATTTCCTATTTTTATTCTTATCAAAGATAACAAAGTTGTAATACACCAGCAGTAAACAAGAAATAACAAAAAAGCTCCTTCAGAATGCTGTATTAATGTGCTATTAATATGCTTCAAGTCCTTTCAGGAAACTTTACATTAACAGCATAAAATTTCATCTCAAAAGAAGTTATATTGGACTATTTCTTGCAAACAGTAACATTTGTATTTGGTTATAGAGAAGTGTTTAACAACTTCCAGATATTTAGAAAACTCCACAGATTTAATATTTCACTGTATAAATTAAAAAAAAAATTGCTGGGCATAACTGTAATATTCAATTAGACCTTAAAATAGATGATCAGAAACAAGAACTATAAAACTATATGATGTTTTATGGAGAAATAGGGAAAATGAACATACCAACTAAAATCTAGAAGAGAACAGTGGGGTAGATAAGAAAATATTTCCATATGAGTACTTCAGTAGCTGCAGCTGAAAGTAAAATCTTAGAAATACTAACAAATTTAAGGATTACATACAGAAACATATGGATGAAAATTAATGTGGGAATGATAAAACTTGCTAAATAAAGGCAGTGATTTGTTTAGTTTAGAGAAAAAACATTACACGAGATTAAAGAAAAATTCAGCATTCAGACATAAATTATCATACAGTACATCACTGAAGCCTGCATATACTTTCCAGTCTTTTGACAGGTGTGGGATTGTGCTACTTGTTTTGTAACAAATTTCCTGGCAAGATGATTAATGTATACTAGCAACTTTATCAAATGTATACACTTCTTGTTCAAGCATTAGGGAGAAAAATAAAAATATTTTTTAAAATTGCTTGGTTTAAATGTTATTGCATCTGGAATTCCGTTACTAAGAAAATAAATGCAATAAATTGCAACAGCAAAATACAGATAATGCCTTGGTAATGCAAAATTGTGGGGTAACTAATTTTTGGTTCCTTTTCTCCACATAAAAAACCCAAAGGAGTTTTGGACAGTGGTATATTTCACGTAGTATGCAACATATTTCACTTTCTAAACCAGATCCTTCGCATAACAGACAAGCAAGGGTCAACAGCCTTCTAGCAAAAGTACGGAAGAAGGTAACTTCAAATCCTTATTTATAAGAGGAAAACCTTCTGCAACATGACTTCGTTGAATAAAAGATGCTGTATAGGATCCTATATAGGAATGGTTGCTAATGATGCTAAGAACAGTAAAAAAAAAAAAATCAATAACTTTGCTGAAAGAGTGCACCAAAAGTTTTAAAACTCAGTATAAAACATTATTTGTAGCATTCCTACTGTTTTCTATACCTATAATCGGTTACGTCTGTAAGGAAAGTATCATGCAAAGATAACATGAAGTATGATTTTGTTCTTAACTTATGCCGTTCAACAGTAGTTTCCAATTAACTAAGACTGGCTATATGGGTAGGGCATACAGTGGCTCCACTCAGTTTCTTTAAACTCCTCCTTCCTCATTAGCAAGCAAAATATGGCTGAAGGTAGTACAAGGCCACCTCCTCTCGGCAAACAGCTATGGGGTTCATTGCATCAACCCGTATTGGCCTGACAAGCCAGTATACAAGGGTACACAAAGGCAGAATACCCAGGCCTGTCCCCCTCACACTTCTGTCCTTTCTGTACTAAGCACTGGGGCACACGAAGTGTGGCTGGGAAGCATTATCCAGTATCATCCCAATAACTTACCTCCTACACTTTGCGATCAAAGGATCAGTTCAACCCCTACTGGATCTTGCTGTATCACTTCAAAAACTCCAACTCCAATGACTATCTACCCTCATTTTCTGATGACTACCCTGCCCCTCATCTTCTCATCCCACTAGCATTTTAGGAACCACAGCCTCTGATAACTGTCTGCTCTGGAAACTGGCACTCTGGTTTACCACCATGAACTCATAACCCCTAAAGGTCTAGTGTCGTTTTCACTTCTGGTAACACCTCAGTCCCTTCTACTCATTTCACTCCATTCTACGTGTTTCAGTTACCCTCCTACTAGTGTTCTATACAATTCCCACTACACAAAATCCCCTTCCAAAACCCTGAAGTTATTCAAAAGGGACATCATATCGAACAGCTTCCTTGATTCATCTACCATTTTCCAAAATCAGTTCAACCATCTTTTCCAGCTGTCTTCCATTATCCCAGGTACTATGAGAAATTGCTGTTGCACATTTCTCATAAATAAGGTAGGTTAAATCTGTGCAGATTCCACCCCCCACCCCAGTATAGCCGGATTATTTAGAGACACCTCAGCAAGTGAGGAAAAGGTCATCAGGAACCTTCTGAAGTTCAAGGAAAATGTGCCAAACACACAGGATTATGATAGATCATGAAATACACAAGAAAACCCATGGATCACTATAGGCTGGGAGCTGAATGACTGCCTAGCTGCTTCACAAAAAAAAGGACTTGGGGATTCTGGTAGACAGCAAAGCTGAAGACAAGTCACCAATGCATCCTTGCGGCAATAATGCCTACTGGAGTGCATTAGCATGCACATAGTTAGCAGACTGAAGGATGTGCTTATTCTCCTTTACTTGGCATCGGTGAGTCTACACCTGGATACTACATCCAAATTTGCCTCTTTTCTATCAATACTACAAAAGAAATGTCAACAAACTGAAAAGAGTCCAGCCACTAATATCATCGGGGAGCCCCAACACCTGATATATGAGGAGAGCTTGAAGGAACTCAGATTATTCAACTTGAAGATAAGGCAACTAAGAAGTGATCTAAAACTAATCTTCCACTAACTAAAGGTTGCAGAGAAGATTAGGTCAAACCTTTCTGTGAGATGCAGTGAAAGAAAGAAAGGCAACTGGTTGTAAAGGGCTACATGACAAATTCCAATTGGTCATAAAGAAACTGGAACAGTTTGTCTAGAGGGACTGTGAAATCTCCATACCTCGAGATTCTTAAAACTTGACCAAATGATGCCCTAAGATACCTGTTCTAGCATTGAATTTATTCACAATTTTCACAGGAGGGTGGACTACATGTTGTAAAGATCTTCCCCAGAACTTGGAGCCTGACCTTCACAAAAATTTGTGCATGCCTCATTGTAGAATCTAATTGACTTGTGACAATACATACTGTTTTCATGGCCATGACCCTTTACAGAACTTCGTTTGAAGGAAGTAACTTCAGTGAACCTGTGTTTGTATAAAGAAAATGGGAACCACTTTTGAACCAACAAGTCCAACCACTATTTGTTAACCTTTAAAATTTTGCAAAATGCAACGTCTCCTTTTTTAAAAAAATAGAATTAATACCATATATACTGCTTAACTGTGACATATTTAATGTCTCTTCCTGAATTACCAACTAGCAGACTGACTCAGCCTTGAAGTCACTTTTACACAAACTATATGGAAAAGGAAGAATATCAGACAAAAACATAAGCAACTAGTAATAACAATGTACTCCACTGAAATCCTTTAAATTATGCTTATAATCACAGAATCACTAAGGTTGGAAAGGACCTTCAAGATCATGAAGTCCAACCATTCCTATGTAAGCAAAGCCTTCTTTTTGATCAACAATTCGATAGGCATTCTCAATTTAAGCTATAAAACTGGACATTTTTCTGAAGTTCTTTGTTGCTAAGAACACTGAAAGTCTGCCACAGGCGATGGCTGTTGACTGGACCCTGCAAGTTACTTAAAGATTATATCCATATAGCTTTAATTTTAATATGTAAATGTGCACATTTCAGTGTGCTCACCGTTACATACAGGCTGAAGTGTTCTGCTATACACTATGCTTACTTCCGAATAGATTTAAGGTTTTACTGTACTTATAGGGTAGATACTTACTTCCCATAGACAAAGATTAAAAGGAAAAATTTGAAGTCTATCTTTTCCTATGAAAATTGTCTGCAAATGTCCTAATGATCTGGATAACAGCAACTGTTTCTTTGAGAGAGGAGGCCTAAATTCTAATCTCTATTTTGCTATGGTAGGGAATTGTCATTATATTCTTTATCTATGGTGTGAATTTTTTTCAAGTGATAGTAAATAAAGAATAAATAAAGAATAAATAAATAATAATATATAAAGTTTTCCCTTTTAAAATTATTTCCTGTAAACAAAATCCTGTCAGAAATTTGTTAGATTTTTCAGTTGATACTGTTTTCACAAATAGTGAAGTGATCCTACAGTAGGAATAAATGAGAAATATTCTGGTTTAAAACTAGATAAAAAACACAGCCTGTAAGTGTCAATACATTTCACTTGTACTTTTTATGTTATTTTTGCATTCCATATTCTGCTGAGATACACAGACTATAAAGAAAATGTTGGCTTTCCTCCAT